ATCGATAAACGCCACCATGCTCAAACTTGCGAACCCTTCGCCGTGACTCAAGCGTGAGGGAATAGGGAATCGGATTTGGGTGTAGGGTTTGTGTGGTTAACCCTGAAACAGGAGCGCTTTCCAGAGCCCATCAAATTCTTGCCTGTGCCTGGGCGCATCCAGACATGACATGAAGGTTGACTGTGTTTCTGGTCATGCAAGCCGAAAAGTCGTAACAAATCGTAGCAACGTAGCAGGTGTAGTAGCGACAACGAGTAGAACAAAACTGATGATGTGCTCCCCATTGCCATCTTCCCGCAATCATGGTGAAAGTCTGGTGCTTTTAAGGTTCAGTCGGATTGGCTACATGAAGATGATGCGGCTTGTGTTGATGCTTGTAAACTATATGCGAACGGTTCAATGTTTCGCTGACGACCGATATGCTTACAACTCGTTCACCCGGTTTTGGCAGCGTCTCTGTTGTCGCTGCCTGTTCCTGGTGCTTTGCAGGAGCTGTCTGCCCCTATCAGCATACCATATATCCGGATCACTAAGCCTAGACCTGTGTTCTTCGTGATCTCACGGCTGGAGCACAAAGCTTCAGGGCCTCTTGTTCTAGGAGAGCCAAAGTCCCCGAAGCCGCCCCAAGCTTCCGCCGGCATAGGGTTCAATTTGTGGCATGGCGCCGAGGCTCTGTATTTCGGGGTTTAGGGATTGGGTTTAGGTTTTGGGGGTTAAGGTTAAGGTTTAGGTGCATGGCTTAAGCTTCATGCTGTCTTGTATAGTTCCTGCTTCTTTTTTCAATTTAGGACGCCGGGGTTCTGGTGGGGCTTCTTGTTCGGCTTTGCATGCAAACCCAAACCCAAACTGCAAAAGGTAGACCCTTCGGGATTGAGCATGCTTCGTAGCACCGTGGCGCTGAACTCGTCGAAGCCACATAGTTTGTGCTCCGACGTCAAAACGAGTCCAGAGACCGGCCTTGCCGAAGCCGGTAATACCGACCCGACCCATATCCCATGCGATGCAGCAGGGCACGGCCCCACGGTTACGCAGCCACGGGAATAGTACTCGTCGGCACCAGCCCAGAGCTTCAAGGCCGTGCATTCACTGCGATGTCCGATGCGAGCAAGAGGAACGGAAACTTGGGGACCGCCCCTTCAAGCATTTGGAGATGGAGGATGAGGGACATGCCCTCCGGGGCCAGGGCATGTCATTTCAACTTCTAAACGAATGTGCTGTCCGCTCATGTAGGGCCCTTGAGCGTAGGCTTCGGTGTTCTTCGTATCATATGCTTTGTGAACTGTGTATAGGTTCTGAGACTGCTGCTAAGGGCCAGCTGTATAGTATCTAGTCACAGAGCTTCTTATTACAAGTGTTTACTCGCTAGGCTGTTTACGAGCTCTGAGTGTTGAGTCAGGTGATCTTCATCCTTGGCATCATCGGCGGCCTGGGTGCCCAGCAAGAGAGTTTGCAATAGCCACTGAGCCTGGAAGCTTCAAGCCTGCAGATCGGTGCTTTGGGCTACTGCGGGGCCGCCACGCCTCATAGACAAGTGCAAATCTGGGATCCTGAGCTTGTTGCTACTGCGTTGCAAGACCTCCCAAATTTCAACCTTTGAACAGGCCGAAATCTTGGAATCCTAAACCCTTAAGATGCACCTCATCATAATGTGGTCTTCACGACTCTCCTTGAATTAGAATCGCGAGAATCGCGTGGCCCGGATGTCGGGTCGTTCACAGTGAGGAGTCCTGAGCCAATCCTGTATGCCACAACCGTCATGAGGATCACAATGATGATGATGATGATGATATGCTAATGATGATATATAATGATGATGCTGGTGATGATGATGATGATGGTGATGATGAAGATGATGAAGATGTGTCGTCCTCGTCCCGGGCCCAATTGGTGGCAAAGCCGCGCATGCGAGCTTCCAACCGAGGACTGTATTGGATCTACTTGACTTGCCACTTACTTCCCAGACTGCAGGACTGACCGCTTAATCGCCGGTGCTATGGGTCTTTCTTCAACTTAAGCTATATTGTGGCTTAGAGGCTGCAGGCACTCTTTGTACCGGTAGGTCCCTGATAGGCACCTCTTGGGCATCTGCAGTGCTCAATAGGAGAACACCTGCACGCATGCCCGAAACCTTTGTACACAAAGCACAGAGCCCTGAATCCCACAACAAACTAGAACCCTCGAAACCCCAAAAGCATTCTGGGAAAACCCGGTAAAGCACCGCGAGCCCTAAGCCGTAAAACTCGGAAGACAATGCTCGAGCTCGAGATGACGCAGAATGAGCCTTTGTTGCTTGGGTTCTTCGTTTGCGGGAGTCTTACTTCTGGGGAACCTATGACAAGAGTTCAGGATCTACCATTGGCTTCTGAGGGTTTAGGATTTTAGGGTTTAGGATTCGAGGGCTTTGGGAGCTTCAGCTTTTGTTGCGTCAACTTGCAGGGTGCCTCCAAGTCGAAACCACTGGCATCTCAAGAAGTCTTAGAAGACCAAAGCCCCGGTGCAACGATTTGAGGAGGTTTGGGAGGTTCGGGGTTCAGGGTTTGCAGCAGTTGCACATGATGTGGGGCTTCAATGTAAGCTTCGGGGTACCTGTTCCTCGGGTTACCGATTACCAACAATCGAACCCTCAACCCCAAAGGTCGAAGCTCTGAAGTCAACACCCTGAACCACATTCCCGACTTGAACCGCCAACCTGGACCCCAAACCCTCGAATTTACCCGTTAGGAACTGCCAGCGCAGGAAAGTAAGACGACCACCACAGCGGCGTGGGAGTTCGCAGCTTTCCATGCCGTCTTGGGCCGGCATTGAAGCGATGTTTCTCTCGAGATCTTGGGCGCCTTTCGAGTTATGTAGGTGATTCACTGCGAATAGAGTAAGGTTGGTTTGCGCTTGCAGCTTCGGTGTTGTGGGGTTGAGAAGCGATGGACACATGAGTCGCCTTTTCTATCATTTCCTATCGATTGCTCTGGCACGGTCTGACGCTCTTCGTCTTCTTCTTTCCTTGTTCTGCTCTTTTCGCTTCCCTGATATTTGTGAAGCTGAGTATAAATATTTAGTAGAACTCGCGGTGGGCGCTTCAACAATTGAGCGAGTACTGTGATCCTAAGTCTTTACAGGAGATGGCTGATGGCTTGATCAAATCCTGAGGCGGGAGGCCTGAGGGTTGTTGGTTTCAGGGTCGCATAATTAGGCCTGTAGGGTTTAGGATTTACGGCAAAGTCAGGCAGCGAGGCCCTGGAAACCCAGAAGTGATTAAATCCAGCAGAGGAATGTCCCTTCAATTCTGCTAGTCTGATAAAAAAAAATCTTGGATTCTCGGGATTTGCATGCTGTGTTCTCAGGTCACCCTGATGCTTCTTGTGTGCTACTTCCTGAGCGTGCATGCCTCAGTCGGTCGGGGATTTCGGGTATATAGGATTCACGGCTGGAAAGGATTTCAGACGTTTCGGTCTCAAGGGCCAGCATGACCATCATGCTCGCTTTCGGGGACATCATGAACAGGACCATCATAACGAACTTGATTTCAATAAATGCCATCATCGTCTCCGTCACAGCAGCTTCTTGATTTGCTTTCTGCGAGGAGTGCACACGGGTGTGGTGTTAAATCCGGAGCATGTTCGGGCGTTTTCGGTGCATCCAGCGGGTGAGCTTTGATTGTCTCGTCTGCGCCAACCCCAAACCCTGGATCCGGAGCACCAACCATACCTTCAAGCCAAACCTTCGGCCCTAAATGCCTGATCCGTGAACCAGAACTGCAAGGTGGAATGGGTAGAAGCCTGAGGCTCCAGGGCTTCGGGTTGAAGGCTTTCGCACTACACCCGAAGGCCTGAACGTTAATCGTTGTAGATCCCTAGACTCAAAACGAATCTTTAGGGGTTCAGGTTTCGATTGAATCTCAAGCTGCATCTCCTGTATCTCGAAGCCCGAAGAAAATTCGACTTTGACCAGAAGACCATTGAGGTCTTTGTGCATCCCGGGACAATCCCCGACAAAGAGGAGGATTGGCAGTTGGAGCCCCCCCCCCCGCCTTGTTCTACACGAGGGTCCCTTGTAACGGCAACATGAATCGGACAGTCTGCTTAGAGGCCCTACGAGGGACCTGGCTGTTGAAGTCCTCCCCCGCCTATCCACCCAAGCAGGCTCACAGCCTCAGTTGCTAACGGCATCTATGCATCCAGCCTGAGGGAACGGTCTCAATGCGGTTTCTGCGATGAGTGTGGTTTCGGAGCGACAACTATGTAGAGGCGTCGTCTCCTCGTGAGAAGCCCTCCTTCCTGAACCCTTGCTGAGCTCATTCCTTTCGCTGAGTGACAGCAAAGGTTTGTGATCCTTGCGGTCTAAAGGACAACTAAAGGACAAAGGTTTGAAGGCCTACGGGTACACTGACTTCCATATTATGTCGTTGATGATTACCACATATACAGCCTCGGAGTTTTCTGATGTCGGGGGTCGCCCCTAAACCCAGGCGACCGTCCGAAACTCAGCATCCCTGCAAAGCCTCTGGCTCAAAGTATGATGTCCACAAGCGAATCTAGAGGAAGTCCACTTGTTCGACCTGCTCAGCAGTTGGGAAACTTTAGGGCAGAGTTCGGCGTACATCTGCTGCCGGTGCAACCTTCAAACCCATACTCTTTGAGCAAGCGTCCGCAATCCACGTGTTTAACTCTTTGCAAGTTTTGGTTGTGTGCAAGCCTGCTTCGACCCCAGCATGCCGAATCGTGATGCTGCGGGTGTGGCTGGCATCAGGTGCGCTCTTGGTCAGTGTTCCTGTGGAGGAGCTCAGTGATGTGAAGAGCCTGAAGAGGAACTTGCAGCTACTCTGCAAAGTACCACGATTCAGACAGAGACTCGGTCTGTGTTGGAAAAAGCCTGGAATGTTTTAATCAGGATTGGGAAGAAAACGAGCTCCGTGATGGGGGATGGTCATTGTTATGAGACAAATTCCCAGGAGACTTCTCCATGAAGGTGTCGCTCTAGATGACACAGAAAGGCTGGAGCACCCGATGGACGTGCATCTTGTGATGCTGCAGTTTGCAGCCGCAACAGAAGAGCAGAGAGACGAGCTCGTCGCTGCAGCGGCACAGAATCGCAGTCCTGAGATTGAGGAGCTCTGGGACGGGACTTCTGGGACGGAGGGATCATGCAAAGTTGAGGGTTCTCGATTTTGTAGTGCTGAACCTTGAGCCCTAAACCCGCAACCGAAGGAAGGGCGGAGGGCTGCAGTGGTGCAGGAGATTCTATACCCCAGACTTCGACCCTGCTCTGAGCGCGTAAGCCGCCAAGGGTTTCGGGCGCTTACAGGAGATCCTGCAGCGACCTCAAGATCCGAGCTTGACGGACACTTTGGGTAGAACACCTCTGGGCATGACGTCGGATGGCGAGAGACTTGCCTGGCTTTTAGGGTTTCGGATTTGTTGGGGCTTGGGGCTTTAAGGCTTCTGGTGGTCGTCCGTTCAGTAGTTTGGCATGTATGTGATATCCCAAACGTCCAGACTAGATAAGCTAAATGGCGGAGAGTCTGAAACCCTCACGCTTTACCACAGCACATGTATTTGTGTGGTTCTCCAGACTCGCAGAACAATCCCCAAGCCTAAAGCCCCGACAAGTGAGGCCTCAGCCCTGAACCCCAGCCCCGGACACCTCCAAGATCCTGACAAGTAACGCATGTGCCTGAATATTTGTCATGTATGTATAGGGTTCCCTGCCCCCTGACCCGTCAACCCTCCAAACACTCCACAACCCTCGATCCTAGAACAGCATGTCATTTCCGATGTTATCTAGAATAGAACTTCCAAGACGCTCAAATCGAACCCTGACAAGCAAGGATAGCACGCTTGCTCGTGGAAGCCGGATCAGAGCGGAACCTAGCCGATGACATCGGCGAAACTGTTCCTTGGTAGTCAGTTAAGCCACCTTTCGGAATTCGAACTTGTGGTTTCGGCGCAAGTGTTCAGGGTAAGGTTCCAGAGTGTATTGCTGCGGGTTGAGGGTTTAGGTATACTCCTTGAGAGAGACACCGTACAAAGGAAAAGCCTTAAGCGTAAGATTAGATAATCTGATGCCATAATTCGTGTGTCTCTATCTTTCTGACACAGACACTTGGTCCCTCGTTCCTTTCCCAAGCCACATTCTAAGCCGCTATACTTGGGCCCCCACGTTGTGCCTTCTTTGCAATAGCATGTATTGTACCCTTAAGCCCGGTTCTACGCACTTGTCCTGTCCCTTGCAACTCTGGTATGAGACTTTCAAAAGTAAGCAAGTCCGCAATATGAAAACCCCCGAAGCGTAAGAGAGTTCTCTCTGGGCCCCTAACTTTTTCAGAGTGCGCATGTGTTTTCAGTAAGCTGGACGAGCCAGGCCTTGATCAGCGCGGCACGCGAAGGCCGGACGGAGGTCGCGCGTGCGCTGCTGGAGTTCGGAGCTTCCACAGAAGCTCGGGGTTCATGTCTGGGTGCAGGCTTTAGGGTTACGTAGAAGCTTAACTAACTTCTGAGTAGTAACGATCCTTAGGATTGTCTGGGACATGAAGTCACCCAAACTTTAGTCTTGCAGGGTCGAGGTGAAAAGGTACATCCGAAAACTTGGGGTTTGGGCTGCGCCGAGGGCGGCATCGGTAACACTGCCTTTGTTGCAGACGACTGCAAATAGGAAAGTCTACGAAATTTTGTTACTGCCAAGGCATCCCCTTCATGTATGTATATTATGTGTGTGTGTATATATATATATGTATATTCAATCATACAGGCTGTACATATGCAATACTTCTCTCAGCTTTTTTCAAGAAGAGCTGAGGATTTGTCGGATGATGACGGCTGGACGGCTCTGACAGTTGCGTCGGTTCAAGGTGGCATGGGCTGTGTTCTGTGCTGCGCAGATTCTTTGGGGTCCTTGGGGTTCAGATTCAGGGGGCGAGAGTTTTAATAAGGTTCAGGGCCGACGAAATCCTAGAACTCCCCGTGCAAGAACAGCACACCTAGTGGCCTTAAACATCTTGGAGAAAAGATCTTTCGCTTCTTTCTTTTGAGTTGGTTCTTCTTCTTCAAAAGTTTTTGAAGGCCACCTGGATGTGGTCCGTTTGCTCCTCGAGGCGGAGGCGGAGCTCGACCTGGCGGCCGACCTGGAGTGGAGTCTTCAAAGCACCGTTTTAAAATCATTACGTCTTACGTGTTCTTCTTCATTCGAAGACCTTCTGGCAGTAGTCCATCGTGTGTGTGTGTGTGGGTGTGTTGCTGTGTTCTGAAGTCTTTTATGTCTTGTGTGTGGGCGTGCCGTATGTGGTGTTGTGTGGCTTATTGGTTGCATGTTGCTTGGTATTCGCTTCCGCACCAGGTTTTCGGTCCCATCAGAGGATAGAAATCTTTTCGGCCTGAAAATTCACAGTGAGCTAGCATATACGAGCAAGTTCCAACAGCCCGAAACCCTGGAACGTTCTTTGTGGAGTATACGGTAGAAGCCAGAAAGTTGGAACATTAGTATCCTCGTGCCCTTAAAGTAAAGGATAAGGGATCCTAGCACTAATCCCCCTAGACTCATGTTCCAACTTTCTGGCTTCTACTGTATGTTTCCCCATGACCCTTTAATGCCACCGCCAACTCCAAAACCGAAAGCCCCCCCCCCCCCCGCCCGAAAGTTTCAAAGTACACGAAACCTTACATCTCAAGATTTCCATCCCAAGATCCCCTACGAGCCTTTAAACCTCCCAAACCTTCACGCCCTAGCAGCCAAAGGACGGCACTTCTCACAGCAGCAAGGCGAGGCTATGGCAGCTTGCTCTACGCTCTGATGGCTTCAGCGGAGTTCTATGACACCCAGCTTAGCAGAGACGAATATGGCTGTAGTATGCAGTAATATACCCACATTGTTCTTGTTGCTGCTGCTGCAATACATTTGGGAACCCAGTCCGTCCCTATGTGATGTCTCCCCCGTTTGCCTGTATGTTGGGTGTAGTGAGCAGGGTGCTGTACACGCTCTCATTCTAGAAGGGGCAGAGTGTCTGCATTGATGTATGTGTATATGACTGTACATATATATATATATATATAATATGTAGAGAGAGAGAGAGAGAGAGAGAGAGAGAGAGAGAGAGAGAGAGAGAGAGCGAGCGTGCGGAGGGAGGGGAAGAGGGAGGGGGAAAGAGGGAGAGGGAGAGAGGGCGAAGAGGGAGAGTAGGGCTTCGTCTGGACCCCAGGACAATCGTGGATGTCTCGGGTGGACCGCCTTGATAGGTGGGGGGTTGTCGAAACAGACTAAAGGGTTTGCATGCAAGATTCCGGGTCTCCGGGGTGCAGCAGGTTTCGGGATTCGGGATGATTCGGGCTAGAGTCTTGGGCAGCCAGTCGACCTCGAACTCCTTCAGGTGTAGGCTTTCGGACCGCCAAATCCCTAAGACGACGCTGAGAAACCCCTCAAGTGCCCTTCACCCAGCGCCTTTTTCCAAGAGCTCCACGAGGTGCTTCGCGTCGAGGTCACAGTGAGGTGGTCGGATTGCTGCTGGCAGCAGGGGCCGACAAGGATTTGGCAGACAGTCGCGGCAAAACTGCGCTGGTCTCTTGGTCTTCTCATGATGTGTGGCGGTTCTTGTGAGCTGCTTTTTGGGTTTTCAGGTTGGTTGGTACTGCAGGGAGTTTACTAAGGCTGACGGGGTGTCATAATTCGGGCTTGTAAGGTTAGGGGGATATTGGAGAGATCAAGGCGCATCAACACCCAACTGGGCAGGACTATCTTGCTCATCTTTAGACCTGAAGTCCTAAGCCCCCAAGTCCACACGCCAATGAGTAATTCCTTCATCCTTTAAGCAGCTTGGGATGATAGTAGATTCTGCTGTTCACAACCAGTTAAGTTCCCTATAGTTGTGAACAGCAGATAGAACCCCGCTTTTCTCACTTTGCGAGCTGCACAAAGTTAACGAATGCCCTGACCCCAAAGCCTTAAACCCCTAGCCCCTCATACCCTTAAGCTTCCAAAGCCCTACACTCCGAAATCCTCTGAACTCCACGACTGTAAGGCGAGTGCCGCGAGAAGAGGGGACGTCATGATGGTGTGGCAGCTGTTGCGGGCTGGGGCGGACATGCCGCCCGGCTCTTTTACAGGTTCGTGCAGTTTTTTTCGGCAGGGTTTTTGTTGAGGGATTTCAGATACCATTCAAAACGAAATGATATAGAATTGGAAATGGTGCAGGTTCTTATGTGCGGACAACACTTGCTTCGCTTACGGCTTATCCCCATTAGGGTAACTCAGACTGCAGAAACTCAGGAATCTCGCCGACGACGATGGCAGAACACCTGTTCATGCTGTCCTTCATTCCCACGAAGAGATGGCTCAGTTCCAGCGTTCCAAAGATAATGGCCTAATCTCACGCGGCTTTCAGATAATCTTGGAAGTTCTGTTGGAGGGAGGAGCCGAGAAGAACATGGCTGACAACTTTGGGCGAACGCCTTTGCATGTGGCAGCAAGACAAGGAAACCTTGCTCTTTTGCGCTTGATCCTGAAAGCGAGAGCTGACCCTGACCTGGGTGACGCCAGGCCATTCAGACTTCAGAGTCGTTCAGAGTTCAGTGTGTAACGTAAGAACAGCAAATCTTTCAAGAAGCCGGCCAAGTCATAATTTTGACGGGTATTCTACGACCAGCCCAGGACGACAATCACCGCACCGCACTTCATGCAGCTTCCGATCTTGGCCTTGACAGTAACCAGATGCTTAATTTGGGGCAACTGTTCATTCGTAAGTTCTGCATGGTCCTATGGACGAAGCAGCGACATGCGGCGGTACGGGTCTTTACTTGGTGGCAATTGTGGGAACGAGTGTTCATGTTTCTTTGTTTTCAATGGGTACACGTACTACCATGCAGCAATAGATGTTTCCAATTCCCTTAAAGCACAACCCAGGTAATGTGCGCCTCCTCTTGGAGGCCTTCGCCGACAGTAGCCTCGTTGACCGTGCCTGGGCCTTGCTCAACAACAATAAGCTAGAGTAATGCGTTTGTTATTTTTTAGCGAAGAACCCTCATGAGAGAAAGAACAACCTGCGGAATCCAGGTGCCGGGAGCACGGCTCTTTCGTTGGCTTCAGCGAAAGGTTACAGGGAAGTGGTCCAAGTTCTGTCGGCGGGCCGAGCTGCAAAGCGACAAAACGGGGCCGTGAGAGTTGGGTTCAGGAGTTCTTGGGTTTTGGGGTTTACAGTAATGTTTAGGTGCGATCCAGGGTTTGAGGATAAGGATGACGGGGGTGCACCCAGTTTGAAGAGCATTTTTCGGTTCAGGCTAAGAATGTCGGAAGGATTGCGTCAAGTAAAGAAGCTTACAATTCAAGCCTTGTCTTTTGGGCCTTTAGCTCTGCGTCCGATTAAACGTTGCAATCGAAGATTTTCATTGGAAGAGTTGAGGTTGTCCTTAAACCCCAAATCTCATCACATGATCTCAAAACTTTGTCGTTGTTTCGCTGATCCTCACGTACTAATGCAGCATTTTGCTCCAACATTCCCTTTCCTGATTGTTTGCCGATGACATGGAGACATGTATTCTGTTTATGCGAAACTGCCCTAATCTTCCAAGCCCACGCCGCACGGAGGGGCTCGGATCTCAGGGCTTGAGGCTTACGTTTCAGAAGGATCTCGGTTTAGGCCTTGTCGCCTGTTGCTTCTGGACTGAAGGCTTGAGCCTCATTACGGAACCCCCCTGGCATTCCGGTTCAGGGTTTAGGGCTTAGGCGGCTGTGCACCTTAGGGCAACAACCTGAAGCCTGTATTTGTGTAAGCCTTGCCGCACCCCATAACCCAAACTCTATCCCGAAACCCGACAGCCGCCACTCTTCTCGTTTCAAAAGTCAGCGTTAGAGTTTCTGATGGGTCTCGACCATCGCACGCTCAATCCCACACACATCGCCCCCAGAACCTGACCCATAGAACTCTGAGCCGTAAATTACAATACGAAGCTGGTCAGGCTCACATCCAATATATCCCCAGATCCCAGACCCTGACACCTAAATTGCAAGCCGGCCAGTCGATCCGACAGGACCCTTCCTGGGAGTACGATGGCTCCGAGGCGGGCTACGAAGTGCAGGGGTTGGATCCTTCATCTGTGAGGCTTGGGCTGTTGGGGGCTTGGACATAAGGCGTCTGAGGTTCGGGAGCTCTATGCCTTTAGTGTGTTTGAGGTTTGCACCCGGAGAAAGCGGGGAGAGCGGGAACTCGATGTTTCAGAGAGACACTCCATCAGATCCCGCTCCTGTGTTTCCGGCCTTTTGGTTCTGAGAGCCGCCGCTTACGGCAGGTAAACTCCTTCCCTTCCGAGATTCGGTTCTTCCCGGCTATGTTCTTGGTGCCAAGTCCCATGCCTCTACTGTTGTCTCTCATTGTGGGTCTGTTGCCCGGTGATTACCGCAACCGAACTGCAGAAGCCTGCCTTCCGTGCGAACAGGATCCCCAGCCCATCGCCGTGGATACGGCTCTGCACATCAGACAGGCGGGGAGCCTGGGGCTGTAGCTAAGGGGCCTAGAATGAAGCGGAGTTCAGGCAGCCATCTAAGAGGGGGAGCTTTCGCACAGACTGTCCGTTTTTCAAGTGCTTCCTGTTGAGTGTGGGACCGTACGACTAAGATCGACTAAGAGGGGCCCAAGGCCGAAGATTTCGACAAAATCCCCCTGTGGGCGCAAAAACCCGTGCGGGGACGTGGTCCCTTAAGGCCCTTAAGTTCTCCAATGGCCAAGAACGCAATCCAGCAAAACAGTGCAAGAAGCTCAGATTTGCTGAAACCCTATACATCCTAAGCTTCCTAAACATTGAAGCCCTCAACCCCAAACCTCCCCAAGGCCGAAAACCCCATACACCCCTAGGCCCTACACCCTAAGCTCTAATCTGCCTAAACCCAAAATCCTGAGAAATGGTTCTCAGGAGCAGAAGCGCTCTGGGGAGCGACGGAAGTGCAAGTGGTGCCTGAAGCTCCTTGGACGACGCATCAGACTCGTGTTCTGTCTTTCTGTCCTGCGTTTGTTTCTGTGCTTTGCTCCGGCGGATCTTAAGAGCTTAAACGGTTTAAAGGTCAGGCTCAGGGGTAGAGAGCTGTTTCAGGGTTTACTCAGTTTGTCATCCGTCCTCTGGTTGTCATGTGTTTGAATGCTACTGAGTCTTTAGTTGCGGTGGTTTAAGGATTTAAGGTAGTATTTCTAGTTCTAGTCTTGACACCCATTACTAGCTCAGTAAGCCTGTTGTCTTGTCAGTTGTCAGTTTTCAGGTAATAGAGGTTTGTCTCTACTGTTGGTGTGTTTCGAAGCTGTGCCCTTTGGGGACGTGTTTCGTTCCCGAAAATCACGACGCATTAACGGCGATGAACACTCACCGCTCGAAGCATCGGCACACTTTTGTCTAGTCAGTACGGCTGCGAAAAAACGTTGGCAATGACATCCGCAACCTACTCTAGCTATTGCACACACCTAAAGCTAAGCCTCCAATCCCCAAGCCCGAAACCCGAAACCCTAAGGTCCGAAAGCTGAAGGCCAAATGCTGTAACCCCGCACGGCCAGGTATAAGCCTGATCGCACCCATCACTGTCGGGCCTCGCCCTTATGTTCTTGACCAGGATTCCCGGAGTTGGGGGTTTTGCCTGCTGGTTATGAGGATTAAAGTTCTGGTTATGAGGGCTGTAAAGTTCCGGTTTAAGTGTTGTGAAGGATAACCGCAAACAGGACAAGCTAGAGCAATTTTCCGAAAAAGCAAGAAGACAGCTTAACAGACGGCCTGTACCCCCTAAGCAACGCAAGTCAGACCCCGGGATCGAGAAGAAGAATGCTGGGATCCCTATCGCTCAAAATTTTCCAAACCAGGGGCTTCAATCCAAATCCCCAATCCTGAGGCATAATTATGAAGCAGAGAAAGCCATCCAGTTGGAACCTAAAGGTTTGCCGAATGTGCATCCTGAAGATGGACCATCATTGCCCCTGGATCTACAACTGTGTGGGCTTCAGGCCCATCGGTCAGGGCTTGGGATTTGGGGTTTAGGGCTTAGGATTAAGCGTGGTTCAGACTCATGCAGTTTATTCAGGCCCAATGTCCCTAAATTCAGGGTCGCTTGTGTCAAGGGGTGCGGTAGTCTCAAGAAGATTCCTTGCTGAAGGTGTTTCGAAGCTCAGGGCTTCATTGAGTCAGTACCGGAATTACAGGGGTAGTTTGCATCCCGAGCCCCAAGGAGTGTGCGGGGAGACTTACTGGTTTCTATACGCAATGACCACTGGGCTGCGTCTACTCAAGCGATTTAAAAGTTGTGTCATTTCGAAATCCTAAACCCAAGCCCCTGATGAAGTGTTCTGGCATACTCAAATCCCACAACTCACAACTGCAAAGGGTCCAGGGTTCCCCACATCAGCACTGCAAGGCTTGGCGGCTTTCGCGGTAGTGGTTGTCAGGTTGAAATTTTGAGGTTCCTGTTTTGCAGTTTCTGACTTGAGGTGCAGTCTCTTGTGCATCAGGAAGATTGAGTGCGTGAGGGCTGCGGCATTCAATTACAAAGTGCTGGCGAGTCTTCATGGAAGAGATACTTTAGCACAGCTTCCAGCAATAGCAGCAGCGAGAGCACTACTGCACCCTAAACGCTTCATGAATGAAGATTGCGAGGTGGTAGTTGTAAGGACAGTTTTTGCAAAGAAACTTTGGGGCTAGCGTTTAGGAGTCCGCGACCTGCGCCTTCAGGGTTTAAACTCAAGGCCGCGTAGGGGTCAGGATCGGCTTCTGATCGCCTTGCCTGCAGGAACTACAAATACTTCTTCCTGCTCCTCGTGTACACCAACATAGACCTTTGGATGCATCTTAATACAGGGGCCAATATACCTAGCAACATGGGCGTCCTGCGGGGTTCCTAATTCTGAGTACGGTATTGCCTCGCCCCACGACCCATAGCAGCCTCCTTTCTTTGAGCCGCTTCGGTCGTCGACAAAATGGGCAGCAGCGTTCAACGACACAGAGTGCTCCCTCGAGCACAGTCTTGGCCGCTGTCCCTCCCAAGGCCCGTTGGAAGTGGTAGCAGTATTCTTCTTCTCAGTACTAGTTCCTTGTAGAAGTAGTAGTAGTAGTAGTAGTAGTAGTAGTAGTAGTAGTAGTAGTAGTAGTAGTAGTAGTAGTAGTAGTAGTAGTAGTACTAGTAGTAGTAGTAGTAGTAGTAGTAGTAGTAGCAGTAGTAGTAGTAGTAGCAACAGGAGCAGTACCAGTGGCACTAGCAGTAATTGTAGCAGTAGCAGTAGCAGCAGCAGCAGCAGGAGCAGGAGCAGGAGCAGGAGTAGGAGTAGGAGTAGGAGTAGGAGTAGGAGTAGGAGTAGGAGTAGTAGTAGGAGTAGTAGTAGTGGTAGTAGTAGTCGTAGTAGTAGTCGTAGTAGTAGTAGTAGTAGTAGTAGTAGTAGTAGTACCCTACGCGCCCCTAAACCTTAAACCCGACAGTTGAGTTTGACTTGCGCGAAGCTCGGCCAGATGAGGAAGCATAGAGATCGTAGAGCCCCGCCTGGTCGCTGCCCTGGCAAGCAGAAGCGGCACTGTTGCCGTCTGTGTGGCCAGGCAGGCCATCGGGCCGACACTTGCCCGTCTGCCCTAGGTAAAGCCTGGCGCGAGTTCGTGCGAAGAAGTCAGATGCCTGATTTCTCAGTGATTGCTTACAGTCCTTCTCCCAATCAACAGCACGGACTATGTCTACACAAGTATGTATATAGATGTTTGTCTTCCAATGGATGTATGTACGTATGCAGAGAAACACGTGAGATGTAATATAATAGTGAGATCATGTTCTTTTGCGCATCGAAACGCCACTAAAACTAGTAACTAGTTTCACCGCTTTTGTAGCATTGCCTAAAGTCCGCGCACGAGCAAAACCACGGCTGCCTAGACACATGATGTCCTGTATTTTACAGCACTTCGCGTCTTCTCAACACGTTCGGTGTTAGTTCAAGCAAAAAGAACCACACGATCAATTATGATCCTGTTGCGTCATCCAACAAGTAGTTTCCCAGGAATTCTGGCCCTCAGGAGTTCGCAGCATGATATGGTCCATGACGCGAAAGTGCTGTAAAACACAGTACAAAAGCTGCCTTCAGCGAGCATCACCATGCCCGAAAACACCACGATCAATTAGGAGCGTGGCGCCTAGTACCGCCGGTAGTTCTGTGTCTGTAAATGGGGTGATGGCTCGTCCGCTCACACTGCGTGCCTTTCGCCCTTCTGCATTGGCTCCGCCTCCGGTTATTTTCTCCGCGCTGCCTGATCCCGTTTTCTTTTCCTGACACGAACCCTGCTGCCTGCATTTCCGTGTCTGAAACAGGGCACTGTTGCTCCATGCATATCTTGTGGCCTGCTGGCGCCTTTCTGCCTTCATATGGCCTTCTCCATGTGTCCCGCGTCAAACGCAACACTGGTACGGTTGCTATTGGTGCTTTTCTGCGGTTGATACTTCTGGACTTCTGTTTTCCACATCGCCATGGATTTGTGGACTTACTCTGAGGAATTTCTTTTTCTCATTATGCAGCTATTCATCCGCCTCTGGTTCAAGTCGGTCCGATCCGGCCAGCTGCATACCTGTGTTCTGTCTCCGTCGCCCGGGACTCCCTCTGGTCTCCTCCGTGCTTTCAGCCCGACCGAGACCTTCTCAAGCCAGCGTGACAAAAAGGAGGGTGCTGCGCGCTTGCTTTTATGCTTCCCCCCCAGCACCCCTAAATGCTTAACTGCATTCGTAACGGACTAGTGTTTCTGAGTGAACTGGCCGTTTCAAGGCCTGAGTCCTGCTCCGAAGAAGCCCCGTTTCAAGGCATGCCAATCGCGACCCAAGCCCTTGTTTGTGTGCAAGGTTGTCTGACTCGAAGCAGGGCTGTATGGATACCACAAACACGGGTATGTGCTTTAAGGGAGTGAAGTAATCAACCAGGAGCGCTGCGAAGAGCAGCAAACCCAGCTCACAGTCTCTGTGCTCCACTTAGGGTCCGCCGACCCTTGGGTGGCGTGTAGGAGCATTGGAGGGGAGAACCCTCCCCTTTCCCCGAAAACTCCATTGGAGGGGAGGGTCCCGGGCTGCGTTTTGCTCAGCCAAGGGGATGAGGGTTGTAGACGGTTCAATGCAAAAAAACCCTCCCCTCCCCCATCCCCCCTCCCCCCCATGCCCCCCCCTCGTGTGCAGTCGCTGGAGTGGTCCCTGCAAACAACTGGCGTGTGCAAGGGCACGCAGTAGCTTTTGAACTATTACACTCCAAAACAGCCACAACATGCTTATGTAATTATTACTCCTCCCTCCCCTTCCCCCTCCTCCCTCCCCCCTCCCTTCCCCTCCCCTCTGAGATGTAACTTGGGGCGCTACGTGCCTCCCTGAAAGGGTACAGCAAGCAGGACTACCCAGTGTCTCTTTTCTCTATGCAAGGTGTCTATGCAAGCTGAGAGTGTATCTCTGCCGGAGTAAACAATCGCCACACACAAGGGATGCTGAGTCGAGCCTAAGCCCAAGTTCTTTACCCTAGGACGGGATTAGGGACACACGCACTCGCACTGTTGACTTTGCCGGTGGAGCCGAACCTTGAGCCAGGCATATTTGGCATGGTCTCACATGGGGGACTGAAGGAGAGCCTTAGTTATTTCATTCAGGCACAAATTTAAAAAATATGGTAACTATATGAGGTCGTGCGTCGACTACATGCCTTAAAAGCCTGTTCTCGCTCAAAAAGTTTAGCATCGAAGCGGAGAGCCAATGGCTCATCACAGATGACTTGCAAAAGCTCAAGCTGTACAATTTCATTCAGTAACTCACGAGACAAAATATAGACAAGCACAAAGGAAAGACTCACTCAGAAGGAAGACAGAATAAAATCATTCACTCAGAACATTCCTCAGATTAAATTGGAATTCACTCACTCGGATGGATCATGTTCTTGAGATACCTTCTGGTGAGAAGGTTTTTCATTTGCTTTCCAGTACAGTCTGCTCAACTGTACACAGACCAGATACCTTCTGATAGCAGAAGCATTCTTGGACCATTTCACTTCAAAAGGTGGGCAAAAGAAAAGGCGTACACAATGGTCACCACTTCATTGGAAGTGCTCACACTTACAAGTTCAAACCGCCCTTACTTCTTGCCCTTGCCCTTGTTGGTCCTTGGTCTTGCCCTTCTTGCCCGCACCCTTGTCACTCTTCTGTTTGCCCTTGCCTTTAGGTTCCTCATTGTTGAATGAGCTTCCTTTCTGGCTAGGGCCTTGCTTGGACTTGCCCTTACGTACCTCACCGTAGGATGAGCTTCCCTTGGGCTGTCATTTTTCCAGGTGCGGCTTGCTGGCCTGACGCGGATGCACTCTTTCCACCAGTAGGCTGTTCGGCTTGAGGGTCTTGGAGTCCTTTGGCTTTTGCGCGCATAGCTGCTGCAGCTCATGGCACATTTACATTTTGTTGCTGGCAGTCACAGTGTCAAGCTCCATGCAGCAAGTTTAGCGCCTGCAAAGGTGCCCGCATTGCTTTGGAAGAAAGAGCGGACTTCGAAGGTTTGCTGACCAAGGCCTCGGAAGGGTTGAGCGTGTTATGCGTACGTACATGTTGCATGAGATGCTTTGTTGGGTGATCCGGAGAGGTGAGCGCCGTGAACGACAACGACGATGATGTCCACGGCCTTGGCAATGAGTTCGGCGCGGACACGAAAAACGGGAAAGGAAGCTCCTCCTGGCAGGGTCAATGGTTTCAGGAGTTCTTCATCCATCGGAACATAGGTGCCCAAATCTTGCAGTTAGGGATTTTTGTTGGGAGAATTTGATCACGTAAGCCAATCATGAACACAAAGAAAAACATGTAATCTTCATGGATGCAGCTCGATGCAGAACATATTGGCTCCAAGCGGACCGTGGCCTCAGGCTTCGCTCTCGTTGTGGCCTCATGTCCCGATCTAGGGCCCGATCTGTGATGAAGGGAAACGGCAAGAAGAAAGGTATCAAAGGTTCTGATATGTTGAAGATATTGAAAGTTCCCGAAGGAGTGTTGGCAAGGGCGGCTGAGAAACGTAGTGCCTCCACACGAGCATTGGAAAGTAGCTCGCCTGAGTGCAAGTTCAAGTTTTCGCCGGGGCGGACCAGGACCGGCGGGCCCCGCGCGAAGGTTTCTATCCAGGGTCCCGACACCATGAACTTGAACATCAACATCATGTGGCCTGAAGATCTTCCGATCCAGGCCTTCTACGGCGTCCTTTACGAAGTGCAGAGTACGCTTCCTGACTATTCATCCGAAGTTGCGTGCAGCGACAACGTTCAGCTTGCCACACAAAGAACGCTCGTTGCGATCAGAAGCATCGTCAACACGGGCAAGGAGCCGCTCACAAAGAGGTTGATCGACGCCGCAGTGCAGAAACTTACCAAGGCGGAGTGCACCATGGCAGATTGGCTTGACGGTGAAAAGTTGCGCCCCCTTTCGGAGCACCTTGCCGTGGAGGAGGCCAGGGCAGTCTTCCCCTTATTTGATCGCAGGTCAAACTGCTTCACGGGGGCCGGGGGGGGGGGGGGGGGGGGGGGGGCTTATTAACGTCCTGTTCCAAGCACAACATGTGTGACTTCTTCACCGAAGCCTCAGCCCTCAGCCTAAACCTTAAACCCGACTAGTAGTAGTAGTAGTAGTAGTAGTAGTAGTAGTAGTAGTAGTAGTAGTAGTAGTAGTAGTAGTAGTAGTAGTAGTAGTAGTGTACTAGTAGTAGTAGTAGTAGTAGTAGTAGTAGTAGTAGTAGTAGTAGTTGCAGCAGCAGCAGCAGCAGCAGCAGCAGCAGTAGTAGTCGTAGCAGTGGTAGTGGTCGTAGTCGTAGTAGTCGTCGTAGTAGTAGTAGTAGTCATCGTCATATGGTCAATAACCATCTATTCTCTTTAGTTTGATATCATTATGAGAGCCAACGGCATTATCATGAGGATTTTCGTCTTGTCCTCGTCGTCATCATACGCAGGCTCACGGTCATCCTCATCATCATATTAATCCGCTTCGTCCTCAAGCATTTGGAAGCGTTCCAGGGCTCCTCCAAAGCAGAACACAGATTCGTGTGTACCCATTTTCTCTAGCAGAAACTTCGACTGGAATGGAATTACCACTTAGAGCAGCTCCGCTGCTGCCCGCAATTTCTCCAGCCTAGATCGTACCATGTTTGACAGCAAGAGATTCTTGGATGAGGCTTCTTTTTGGTCTTAGGGAGTCTAGGATCTGCCCAAGACCAGACCCCACAGCCGAAACGCCAAACCCTGCGCCCCAAAAGTAAAGTCGGCCCTGAACTACCGAACCCCTTGAACTTTAAACTTCCATAAACCTCAACACATCAAAATCTTGCAGCCCAGAACGCCAAAAAAACTTGAAACATGGGCCAAGTCCTCGTTGTTGCCCCCGACCTCCGGGTAAGGACTGCGTTCTCGTTGTCTCGACCATGCTTCCATCTGTGAGGCTCGATAGGGGGGCTTCAAGTGGAAGGAGCCTTGCAAATGTGCTGCAGTCGTGAAGCGGGCTTTCGATTGTTGCTAGTCGTGCAGTCGACCGACACCAACCCTGCTGATTTCGCAAGACCTGCAGTGGCTCTTACAACGTCATTCCTAGCTGCTTTTTGGTGTTGGGCTGCAGGCTTTAAGGATTTCCGGGTTGCAGTCTATATCCCAAGCTATGAGGTTCTTGAAAGTGCAGAGCCTTGTTTTGGATGCATGCATGTCAGGGCCGGCACACAGCCGACAACTCCCTTTATGACGATGCTCCTTGGCATCAATGACACTTGGTTTATGTTCCTGACTCTCATTGCAGTCGTTGTGGCAAAGTCTTGGGGAATGCGCTCGAATCACATAAGTACTATAGGCCCTCTTTCCAACCAAAGTGTCGCAAGCTGCAGCTGAAGCCTACCATGTGAACCACCCCGAAGCAAAACCGCACAGCGCCACTCAATTTTACACGCACAAGGAATCCCCGAATCACAAGCCCTTACGGCCCTTACGCAAATCGAGCAAAACCCTTTTGACTTATGAACCTCGTGAAATCCTTGGCTGTCTGGCTCAGGTTTCTCTTGATCTTCGGAGAGACCTTGGCAGGATTCCTCTGCGCCGGAGCCTTGTCAGAGGCTGACAGTGTCCATCACAAAGGAGCTTCGGCCCCCTCCAGCTGTGGACTTAGTGTCGGGGGCTTCCATGGACCAGATCTCAATTCAACATTCTGTTGCTCAGAGACCCGAAACCCTACAACCCAACTCCCCTGCTGTGGGCCCTGTACCACTGTAACTACACCTTAAGAGCCCCCTGTAGGTCCTAATCACGACCCAGCATCCTAAACCCAAAAAGGAGACTTCAACCCTGAGAGCGCCAAGGTCCTAGTCACAATGTTTTTGGGCTTCCACATCTACTTGATGCTGCAGGCCCCCCTCCCGGCGGAACGGGAAGAGACGGTCTAAAGTGGGCGGCCACCCGAGGCATAAGCTGTACTGCATGTTGGGTGTAGTGTTGACTTTTTGTTGAGCTGGTGCCACGCAGCATTAAGTCAGTCGCTGAAGCTTCGGGCTTCGGTTTTGGTGCTTCGGGCACGGGTATAGGGTCTGGACATTTTCAGGACTGAGCTTGTAATTTCGCATCCCAGGCTCTGTGAGAACGGGTTTCGGAGTTTAGGATTCAGCATCGTTCCAGCACAGGGAAGGGTGCCGTCAATTTTCGATCCTTTGCAGACTCGCCAACATCTCAGTTGTTTTTGGCTCCGGGTTGAGAGTGGATGCAAAGCCGTTAGCTATGGCAGGGAGCTTCGTAAGTCGATGGGGTTTCGAATATGACTCCCAAGTAGATAGCAAATACCCGTAGAGCTCTACTCCTCTACTCCGAAACTACTCCTTGCCTTCCAATTGCTAAGATCATGGAGTCCTGTGGCATTTACACTCTAGTGTACCGTAAGCAGGCCTACACTAAAACTGTAAGACAGGTTGAACCCGAAACGACTAGGAGTGCAAGAGTTGAACCCCAAAAACTTGTCATCGGAACAAAGCGCAGGATGCTTCAACCGACCGAAGAGGGAGAGCTTCCTTAGGGCTTTCTTCTCAGGTTTTCTGTTGTGTGATATAGCTTAGGGTTTTACGTGTGCGTCTTTGTAGAGCTGCGGTTTGAGGCTCCAGTTTCGGTTCTCTAAGTCTGGCAGCTCGTGCTATAGACCCCTCATAAATAAAGCATCTGGCATCATATGGCCTGTAAAGAGCGGGCTTTACTGCCAGGCGATGACCACCATCGAATTCTGCGAGAAGCCCCTTCACTTCAATATCCGAGAAACGCCGGATGCGAAACCAAAAACTCGAAACCCCCAGAGCCCGAAAGGCTCTGAAGCCCTAAACCCTTCCGGCAACCGCCGTGTACATTTATAGTTTTTACGTATGCATGAATGCATGCATGCATGTTCGTATACACACACATATACATATATATATATATATACATACATATATACATATACGCATATGTATATGAATAGACATATACATATACACATATATGGTAGTTCACTGGTGTATGTGTTTATTTATGTGTGTGCACATATGTTCGTTTTTGGCTTGGTGCCTTAAGTCGTTATTTGGTGATGCCCGACTGGGTTCCTTGTTTTACGTACTTATAGTACATCTGTTTTAACATGTATGCCTGCACCGAGAACTGGTCGGAAATATGTTGAAATGAGTTGCCATCGAGAAGGAGCCCCACCAGAGAAATCCTATCAGCTTGGAAACAGCAGTTGCACACAGGGAGAGGGTTTGGTTCTCTTGAGGAAGGATGACATGACCTGAAGATTCCCAGTTTTTTGCTACAACATCCCCAAAGCTTGGAGCTTGCGCAAAATCCCAAGGCAAAACACGCAGACATGTACAAAAAAGAGAGCAAGGTCAACCCGAGGCGGTTTCCGCGCATCCATCTACGACCGAGGTTTCGTCCGAGCCTGAGCGATTGAGGGTGTTGTTTGGGTTTGTCAGAGAGAAAGAGAGAGAGATCCGTCTTTGAGAGCTCTAATGGTGCCTGCTTGCAAACAGCTGGGTGACGATGCAAGCTTTACCCCAGCGCAGACCTGCAGTGAATAAAGGGGATGCTTGGTGTTGCTTCTTCCACGAGCGTGTTGCAGTTTCCATGTCGCTGATTGGCTGCTTGTGTGTTGAGCGTCAGAAGGAAACGAGCAGGCCTTCCTCTTTTCATGCCTCGGCGAATCCTTGTACAGCCGAGCCAGTGGGGGCGAAGCCCCGTGGTGGAAGCTGGACACCTCGCCAATGACCCGAGGGGGTGCGCGCGCTCACGGGGTAGCAGCCTTGACGCTGCTGCTTCCCTCACTGTAGAGAGAGAGAGAGAGAGAGAGAGAGAGAGAGAGAGAGAGAGAGAGAGAGAGAGAGAGAGAGAGAGAGAGAGCGAGAGAGAGAGAGAGAGAGCGAGAGCGAGAGCGAGAGCGAGAGCGAGAGCGAGAGCGAGAGCGAGAGCGAGAGCGAGAGCGAGAGCTAGGGAGGGAGGGAGGGAGGGAGAGGCCCTGCACTCAGTTGTCACGTGTCACGGCTTTCGGTTCAGTCTACGAAAAGGTGTCCGGGGTAGAGCGTGGCGTAGACTTACATACTTGCTTCTTTTTGCTTTAGGTGCAGAGCTTCAGCCCCGAACCCTAAACTCCTCGACCCCGAACTCCAGAGCGTAAACCAGTTAACCCCTGAACCCTCCGAAATTCCGGGCGGGGAATGAGGTCGGCAACATCTGCGCTGTTCTCGGAGACAATCCGCTTCTGTGGCCCGCAGCTTACGGGGCCTTGGAGTTTAGGGCTGAAGGTTGGGGCGCTGAAGGCTTAAGATTTGGAGCAGAGTCAGTGGGGCTTGTAGTTTCGGTTTTAGGTTGTAGCATTGCGTGCCCCAGAATTGGGGTTTCAATTCATTTGGGCCGCGTAGTTTAATGGGGGATCCCCTCCAACCGGATCATGACAAGGATGCTGCCGATGGCCCCGCCCAAGGGGCGTGGTCTCACCTTCGCTGCCCCAGCCAGTTTACATTCTTTGTGGAGGTTGCAAGGCTTTAGGGTGTGTTGTGGTTGTGCTTCTGCTTGTTCTGACGTTTCAGGAGCTGTGTCGGTGACGCTTGTTCTTCGTAAGAAGAGCTACGCCTTGATTCGCTCGTTCCTTTTCCTGTGAGTATGATCATCCGCTGGACTGGGTTTCAAGTTTATGGTCTGGGTGGTTTAAGTTAGACGTTATCTTCGCAATTACGGGGAAGCTGGGAAGCATATCATGGACTGCAGATTTCGGGTATCCGTGCTTCGGCAGCCAGGCGAGGATAGTCGGAACTTTGTACAACTGCCAGAAAGATCCACCAGAGACTGAGCCTGAGTCAGAATGGAAGGAACGGCGACAGAAACAGCGAACAGCCCCGAAAAAGGACCCGCAGCACAACCAAAAGTTTACTCACAAAGAGCCGGGCACTTTGGACGTCAGAGTTCGGGGTGCACGGCGCATGGTATTTGGGCTGCAGGTGTTGACACAGGGTGTTGGTTCTAACCCAAAGCCTTAGATCCTCCAAACCAAATAAGCCTCAATCACCCGAAGCTGTAGCCGCAAAGTCCCAAACCCTAATCACCCGCAAGAATCCTTAAACCCGAAACTCTACGTCAACGCAAAGTTTGCCCAACAGCAGTCAGCCAAACCAAGACCGTTAAGCCTTGTAACCCTCTATCCAGCCGGAAGTTAGGGCTTTCGAGTTTGGAGGCCTTGAAAGCTCTGCAACAAAGGGGCTTTGGGTCGAGGGTTGAAACACGGCCGTCTTTAAAAAGGTTGGGCAAACAGACATCCTAAAGTCCCAAGCCCTACACGTAAAGCCGACCTTGGAAGGGACCGATCTTTTTTGCAACCCCACATGGCCAGGTTTCAAGAATAGGGATCCCTCTTAGGGTCTCTATCGCAGGAGTGTACCTTGTTGGTGAGGGACGCAAATCTAGCAGGAACCCCGCCCGGGCCATGCCAGGTGACGGAAGATACGCGACTCACGCAGGACTGCCAGCCTCAACCCCAAAGCCTCTTTGCCTTGGCAGGGAATTCTTGCAAAGGTTTCGAACTCCGGGGCTTAGGCTGTAAGGCGTAGGATTTGTATTTGGCGCGAATGCATGGCTTTGAGTCTTGGGTTTAGGCTTGGTGCTTGGCTTCTCTTAACTAAGGAGCTTAACAGCTCAGGGCCTTAGAAGCCCTGCAGAAAGCCAAACCGTGAGCCCGAAGTCCGCAACGCTTTACCCCCTGCAGGACATGGAAGCAGGACGTGGCCTCCGCCTTCCCGGCATATCTTTTTGGGTTGTTCTGGGTCTTCTGGGGCGCTCTCGAAGTTGGGAGAGCTTTTTCGAGGGCAGCGTGGCAGGGAGGATTTCGGGTTTAGGGCATTGACAGTAGGTTTCGGGTTCAGCTAGAGTTTGCGATGTAGTCTTCAGGTGTAGTGATGCAAGATTGAAATTTAGGAGCTTTTGCAGGTTGGGGCCCACACAGTCTCGGATGCACTCACACGCGGGTTGGAAGAATACCCAACTCCACTGCGCATCATAAGCAGAAGGATGCCTATTCTAACTAATGACGCCAGTAGTTAGCCAGGCAGGCCGCAGCTCAAGAAGCATCCTAAGAAAGATCTCCGAAGAAGGTCTCCGTTGCTGGATTCCCAAAGGAACACGTCACTCCGTTCATAAGGAGCCCCACGGCCCAAAACATCCCAAAGCTGAAAACCGCTGAAGTAAGTTCAGGTTTTGAAGAACTACGCATATCACAGGCTCTGACGCCCTACTCGCAAGCTGCTACCCCCGAATCATGCAGCCATATGAAAGACCGTTTCAGCATAAGCCCAGAACTGTTTTTGCAGCCTTACCAAAAAAGCAAAAGCCCAAACATCCCAATCCTTCAGAGGCGCCGCAAATCCACAGCAATTCTTAATGCCAAAGCCCAGTATCCTCAATGCTCGATCCTGAATCCTGAGCCGGAGCCTCAGCAAAAATCAGCAGAACCAAGCCTCAAAACCCCAAGCCTTCAACAACAAGCCCTATGTAGAAGCTTAGGAGCCCCTCTTGTTTTGGGCCAGGACGGAGGGCGCATGAAGCCAAGGAGGCCGCCCACATCGCCCCGAAGCGTCGCACGGACAGGCCCGGGTCAGAGCAGAGCTGGAGCGGTCATTCATTCCTGCTGTTATTAACTATTTCTATTTTCGAACATTAGTTCTCGAAGACTTACTTCGAGTTTGGGGCTTGTTGCGGGGGTTGGAGTCGGCGTTTCAGGTGCTAAGCCCCAATCCGAATTATCGGTTGGTGTTCTTCCACAGTTGATTGGGTTCGGTACAAGCGTTCTACAGCTTTGTCCGGATCTTGTTGCACATGTTTACGGGTGTGGTACGGGCCTGATGGGCGTCGCACGGTTTTGCTGAGACAGAACAGAGTTTGCTTTTGCAAATTTTTCTGTGCTGCTCCCACTCCAAGCCGACAAGATAAAAGTAAAGGCTCAGCCCAGTTCGCGAGTGGCAACTCAGATTGTGGCCCCACAGACCTCCGACCCGAGCACCAAGGATCGAGCCCTACACCCTCGACCCCGAACCTGAAAGTCTTAGCCCCAACCTGTCTCAATCTCAAGGCCCTTCAGCACCGGTGGCACAGGCACGGACATTTGTTGTAGCGCAAGGATTCAAGGGGTCCTTCACTATGCTCATTTTCATTCTCAGCACGACCATGGTCCAAATCATCGTCATCCTCCTCACCGTCGTCGTTATTAATTTAAGCTCCATCTCCATCATGATAGCTATTACCCGTCATCACCACGTCCATCGTCAGCATCATCTTCGCTATCATGAGCATCACCATCTCCATGATTGCCTTTCTCCACCGCCGTGATCATCTTACTTAGCAACATGCTTCCTGGTATTCGGAGCTTTGAATGCCTGTACCACTGCTGCTGGATAAGATTCTGCATGGCATGAAGTACACTAAACTAAGGGAGGCATGGTCTATCCCTTTTAGTGGGACCTGGGAAGGGTTGGATGGGGGGATTGAGGTCCTTCTTGAGTTTCGAACCTCAATGTTCTTCAGCAAGAGCCTCACTACATGGTCCTTAAAAATTTCGGGTCTACATGCTTATTTCAACCTTTTCAACATGCGCCCAAACCCCCAAAGCCCAACGCCCCCCGAAGCTTGAACGTGCCGTAAGCCTGAAAAGCCCTGAGGCCTTTCAGGCTTTCTGGGCTTTGTGAGTTCGGAAACCCTCAAACCAAAACCGCAGGACCTGACCCCTAAGCCTAGACTCCAAAACCTAAACTGGTGTGGCTCTGAGGCTCAACGGGACAGTCCGAAGAGGATTCGCAATCGGGATCCGGATCAGAAGAGGCCTTCGCCGATTGAAGGGTTTTTTGTTTAGTGAGTCACAGTGATTGTATGTGCCATTAAGGGTTCTTTGATATAAGGTCCAGGATAGAAGCTTCTAGCTTTCTAGGACTACGCCACCTGACATTTCACATAACCCCTTATTGGGTCTTAGAAGATCATGTTTTACGATTAGGGCCTCGGATCTCGGATGTGGTTGCTAATGAAGGTTCGAGGGCTTCGGGTTTCGGGATCTTGTCCGGTTCTCTTGTGGATAATTCCCAGAAGGGCCACAAACCCAAGGTGAGCTGGCTGTTGGCAGGGAAGCTACTGCTTTCGCAATGCAATCCACAAGATTCAGTCGTTTCAGTACAGTGGTTGCCGGCAGTCCGCTTTTATGATGAGTTTCTGCAGCAGGGTTTGAAAAGAGGGGGTGTTGTGTGCGCATGTGTGCTCGGGGAAGCTCATGCAAAAAATTGGAAATCAGCCTGGCATTTGGACTCGCATTCAAGCTTTGTGCATTGAATGTCGGCCGCCTGACCGCCTAATCCCCTCATGCTTCCACTTCGTTGACCTCAGCTGGGCTGCCACGCCCGACGTGCAGCTGGCGGACCCGACGCGATCAGATTCCAAATTCAAAGCCCATGCCGTGACCGCGCACGAAATGACGAAAGACTGAGTGACCTCATCAAGCAAGAAGCGAGCAGCGAGCATGTCGCGAGCGTTGGGGCACCATCAGCTCGTGCGAGAAAGGAAGGAAGTCCAAGCCTTACACATTCAAAAGGAACATAAACCCCAAACCTCCGTAAAGCTTTAAGCCCTACACTACACATCCCTAAGCAAGCCTAAGCTTTAAACCCATTGTGAGAGGTACCCAGGGCTGTTGCCGACGTCGGCTCCAGCCGCGATCGTCCGGCCCGTGCCAGTGCACCCGAGGCCCGGGCAACTTCGAACCACGAAGCAGCGCATGTTTGGGGCTGGTGCAGACTGTTTGTAGCTGATCGTTGGGTTCTTGAATGTGGTTGTCTACGGGTTGACCAAGAGACTGCATGGTTTTGTTGTAAGGGTGTGCGAGTATGTTAAGGGCCTTTTTAGAAGGCTACAACATGGTTGTTATAACAGTTGTTGGCGGGGCTCTAGGCTGTAGGGTGGTGCGCGGTCGTGCGCACCGCTGATGATTCGCAACCCTTTGGTGTTGGGCCTTGGTGGCATCCCGAGTTATTATAAAGTCTTTATTGCAGGAGTGGGTGTTTGTTCATGCTTGCAATGCACTAGCTTAGCTTAATCCAGGTAACCTTTAGTTTGTTCGGGTTCGTTCATATCTCAAGCGCATGACAGGAAGCTTAGCAAGCAGCCTCGAGGCACGATAACAACAGCAATGACTGATATCTTCCAAGACCAAAGCAAGGGTAAGAACTGCTCGAAGGCATGGTGTAACTCAGACGCTTGCGAAGCCCAAAGCCTAGAAAAGGCAATGCTCCCCGAATCCTCTGTCAGACCGGCAGCTATGGTGCAACCGCCGTCGGAGAGGAGAGGATGCTTTGCGACCCTCCAACTGCCTGACTTTGTAGGTAGATAATTTTAGAGCTCAAAATGCGTCGAAGCAAGTTATGAGCCTAACGTAGGGGCCTGAGTGAATAGTTTTGGCAATCCTCAGGAGCTCATCATGTTCGGAACCCTGACTGCTTGACTATGTTGGACCCTTCTCTCCACTGTAGGACACCCGATGATCGTAGGCGGTCATATTAGTACTAATATGTACCCTAAACTGCCTAAACGGATTGGAACATACAATATGAGAACATGTGCCCGAAAGCCCTACTTCCCTAAAAAATGTACCTAGGGTGTCAAGCTGCTCGAATTCAGGGGCTAGTCTAGCGATTTTTTGTTTCGGCGTAATGTAGGTGCGTGGATATGGAAACGGTGCTCCGAGGGAACGGCGGCAACAGCTTGCTGGTCTGGGGTTTAAAGGGGTGTACCGGCTTTTAGGACTCTGGGGCTTAACAGTTGTGACTGACGGGCAGGCTGCTCAGAGCGACGAACAGAGCTTTGCTGCAGTGAGACTGGACAGCCCAGACGGCCCAAGCAGGGCAACAGCGAACGCAGGGGAAGCCAGCTCGGAAGGCCACAGGAGAAACAGTGTTCAGGCGAGGTTCATGAACGCCACCTTCCATGCCATTTGCCTACTGCGGCGGAACACTCGAAGGCTCTTCAGGAAGCGATGGGCCAGCTTCTATCTCCCGATCATCACACTCCGCAACAGGGTTGCTTTCGGCGGAGTGTCTGCCTCTTTGTCCTGTTCGGGGCTGCAGTGGGCGTTTCGGCTTCATGGTGTTTAGGGTTGGGAGCTTCGAGTCTAGGTTTCCACCCAAAGCCCCTCCACACTACTTCTTCCTCCTGCTACGATGTGTCTTTTCCATCGTACAAACCCAAGGCTTGCCAACATAGCTTCCAACTTGCATTCCAGAGAGTAGCTGAGTAGCTGTGTTTGACTAGTGACTCGTGACATTCTTCCCCAGGGTTCCCGAGTATGTTTTCACAAAGGGATTCGCCAAAACCCTGGTTGGATGTAGCATTTGATAACTTGGCTTTTCGCTCTGGGCTGCAGACTAGACCAGAACCCTCTCTGGTAACTGTGGCAACAGCCGAGACTCCTCAGCCACGCCAAACATGAGCACAGAAAGTGGAGCTTCTATTCAGGCTTTTGGGGAGTGTCATAAACAACTATCGAGATAGAGCTCCTTGGGAACACTGGTGAGTGTAAGCTGGAATGATGTGACACTTTGAAGAGCATCTGCTGTCACAGAGAATGCACTTGCAAGGTAGTACCACCTCGTGCTTCTCTCTCGACTCACAGCATCCTGAAGGTTCTGGACCCGAAGTCCTAAACCCAGTGTGAAGCCCAGTAGACCCTACCCCTTAGAACCCTTGCCCTCAGAAGAGGGTGTTTAGAAACACAAGAGGCTTTAACAAAGGAGCAAAAGGCTTTTACAATCCTTCTGCTGCATGCTGCAGCAGACCGGCGCGCCTGCTGACGTTGTGGCCGCCAGCAGCGGAGGCACCTCGCCGTTGCTCTCGCCGACAGGAGGCCGACTCAGGGCTGCTCTTAGGCAAGAGGTCCCTTCACCAAACGTCTACATCTTCAAACTGAAGCTAAATTGAGTCAAGAAGGGAGGCTAATTGGCGTATACAAAAAATCTAGACAGTGCATTTATATACCTTAGGCATGTATGGTTAAGCGTGCAGACGAATCGTCAAAGCACGCTTCAAAGGCACGTTCCGCAAGGTTTCTCGCATGAATATTCGGCCCAACCCCCTACTCCTAATCCCAAAGTTGTTGAATGGTTTGGAAAACATCGCTTCGCTTCCAAACTTATTCAAAAAATACTATATTTCTTGAATACACCGAATACGCATTCGGCTTAATCTTGCGATTCACATGTTCCTGCGTAAACGGGCATCGGGTTTCCTTTTGTCAACAACTTGTTCTGGGCTTCGGAAGCTGGAGGAATCGGAGGCTTTCAGTTTCGTGTTGTGGCTGCTCTATGTATGTTTTCTGGGTAGCGGTGTTTTTGTTGGAGTCTTCATAGGGCTAACACGGGTTGTGAAGGGCTTTAGACGGGTTTCATAAGGGGGTTGGTAAGGATTTGTTACAGTTTGATACGGGTTTGATAAGCAAGGTCTGTACGGTGTCATACATGATCGTATAACGGAGTGTTTGATTTCAGGAGGTCTGCTAGAGCTACTAGAGCGGTGGCATATGGGATGATTTGCTGTTACAAGTTACGGTCTCGCAGAGGGACCTATTCATACATAAGTGCACCGGCTGCTTCTGATCGGTGGGACCTACTATCGCGAGGGAAACTGCACGTACATATGTAATGTATGTAATTGTATATACATATTACAAATATGTAAGTACGTATAACATATTATAACATATTATATATACATATATATATATACACATGTAAAGTCGGGTGCAATCTCGACCACCGATATATAAAAGCTATCTAGCATCTGCTTCGCCGGGGAAAACTTTATGTGGTGGCTTCATGAAGGCTTATACGCACTGGATAGTATGCGATACGCCTCGTACGTTGGATCGTTGTCTCGGATGACAGTCTTGAGTTCGTCAGAGTTGGGGGTTCTTGATTTTGAATCGGGTTCCGAGTTTCTTAAGACTTCCGGGTGAGCGTTTTGACTTGCGCGTCTTGGCCAGGAGACAAAACTTCGTCGTGAGTGGCTTCAATTGCCTGCTGAGACTGAGATGACTCTTGCGCATCAACTGATGCACCCTAAACCTGTAAGAAGAATAGCCAAGTATGAGTTTGGGCTGCTTCGTAACCCAGTATATAAGTGCAAAGCAGTTCTGAGGTGGTCTGGGGAACAAGTCCTAGGCAAATCCGCAGTGCTTCGATCGGACAAGGGATCAGTGGTCAGAGCAGTATAGCCTGTACAATAGGTAGATGTTGATAGATATATATATATATATATATATATACATATACATCATCAACAGGCGGTTGGGGTAGCCTAGACAAGCGTGCCGCCGCCTCTACGCTCGTGTCACCTTGCTTCGTGCCGTGCTGGCGAAACAAAGAGCTACAAGCACAAGCCTTTCCGCATCCGGAAACCAGACACCCTACTTGGAGAAGCCCCCCAGATTGAATTGCAAGCTGAGCAGTCTAGCTAAAACCTGTTAGGCTTCCTGTAGTAGAGAACCCAGCTCTTTCGGGTGTGTTGTTTTTTGGCTTTGAGCTCAGCTGCATGTTACACGTATGTTGGAGTTTGTAACCATGAAGGTTTCGTTGTTCCCCATCGGTGTTTGACCGAGAAGATCCAACAGCCCTCAGGAGTCTCGACATCATCTGATACTTCCAATTCGGTGCTCGCCAAAATCGACCCGAACACTTTGCTTCTCCGGGCCCAAGTGCTCTAGTTCCTTCTTCGAGGGTCGGTGGTTCCTTCCGAAACTGTCGTTTCAGAAACTGAAAGGCCCCAGTATAGACATCAAACAGCAAAATCCTGACTGTAAGGATACTACAACGTCCCTTGTGTATTCATGTCGCTGCGGAGTTCCACACATGGACAAGAAGGAAAGCACACTATTTACTTTTTCTCCCATAGATAGATCCGCCGTCCTGACCCGTGCAAAGCAGACATTCACGGCTCGAAAGTCTTACGTCTACGAAAAGGCTGCCCATCCCGCTCCGATTTTCAAGCCTGAATGCATATCGACAGCCATGTGATCGAGACCCTACATCCTACACCTCGAGTTGCAGCAGCAGTCGCAGTTAATCAGTACCCTAAACCCCCAGCTTTCGAGCTTGGAAACTCCAAAGGCCCATGATGCGGTGTCTTGCCGTGGCTTAGGGCTTGGCTCCTGTTTACACACGCTTCGGGGGAGCCTTGAAACTACTGTTGATGGACAACGCCCGCATTACCAACGCTTAGGGGTATTAGGACCGGTATTGCTCCTTGTTCAAGATGAGGCACTATTTCAGCACATTTTTTGGCGGCAGCACACACCCCCAAACTAATCGCATCCCGGCTCCGTGGCAAGAAGCGGTCATGAGAGTTCTTCCTGGCCGACTGATGTCCATCCTTGATGTCGAGGCATTCTTCTGCTTTCATGCAAAGTAGCGGATTTTATCGAGAATTTGGTGAGCATAATGGAAGGGTTGAGCTTCTGATGTTGCTTATGTTGGCGATCTTTGCTTGCTACATCAGAGCCGGAGCAAAAGTTTGCAAAGCCCAGTTCCAACCCTCCCCTAAATCCTACGCCACGAGCACTGGGCCCTCAAACCACCAGCCACAATTCGAACAAGGAGTTTCAGACAGCAAAAGGTACTCTGAAAAGGCAAGTCCTCAGCCCTCGATCCCCCAAAAAGACCCATCAACCACTCACTACACAGGCACTCAAATCACCGAAAAACCCTAGCAATCATCTCGGAAGAACCTTCCGAGTTGCCCCGAAGAAAGAGTCTAGATATCCCGAAATCCCCTAAGGGGCTGATAGGCTTTCAACGGTTTAGATAGGCTTTGTTCTGTTGGGGTCTTTGGGGTTGTCACGCGTCTTCTTGTTATTGGCAGCTTCTTGAACTTATGGGTTCAAGTCAGCAGAAAAGGCTTGGTAAGAGGTTGCATGAGGCCTGGAAAGAAGACGGCTTATGGTTTATGGTATAAGTTGCAACGGTACAGCAGGTTACAGTAGGGTGAGGCGGGCATGGAGTTTTGTGTTTATGGGTCACGGTTTGGCTAAGGGCTTTGGTGCGAGCGCTTGTAAAGAACACGTCAATGAGGTTTGCATCAAGTTTCAAACCAGTGGTGAGCCGGATTTAGTGCAAGCGGCCTCGAGGCTTCTAAGCGTCGAGGCAGTGGTCCCGATTTATTGGGCCCCCTGGCGGTTAGGAGAGTTTATGACTCGATGTTCTGGATTTAAGTGGAGTCTCCGAGGGCCGATCTCTCTTGAATACGACTTTGACACAGACCAATCCGATATTCAAAAGTACCCATTCGTGTTCTGAGCTGTGATGCTTGACATATGCACTTTACAACTAAGCGGGGAGTGGGGAGAGGTGGCTCAACCGTAGCGCCTACAGACATGTCTAAAGCAGTTGATAATTGGTGTGTCTTCTGCCTCGAATGATAGCCTTAGGTCCGTAGGCAAAAGAGGATGCTTCTACTTCGAACTGCGCATGTCGAGGGAAACCTGTTTCAGAGAAGCGCATGTATTATGCAATGGAACTGACCACCAACGGCTCCTTGGTTCTTCTTGTTGACGTAGTTTCTCATTCTAAGTCGGTTCAACAAATAGCACTTTTATTAATTCGCTGCGATTCACACTGGACTCACTAGACGTGGCACTGTCAAAACTGTCTGATGTTCTTAGTGGTACTAGCAGTACGATTTCAGTCGATCTTCTGAGTAGTTTCCGCTGGTTTGTAGTCGAGACGGTAACCTTTGACCGCTTTGGATGTATACAATCCTACAGCAATGAACAGGTTATTCGTGTAAATTAGAGTCACAGTCAGAGCGGTGGCAGCGCAAAGGCTCCGCCCGGTCGAACTGCAGCAACGGCAGTCGCACCATGAGCAGAGGGTATCCCGGCCCGTCGATTTTGGGGTTGTAAGCTGCAAAGTCCGATTCAGGGTTCTGGGCTGGGGGTTCGCGGTGTGGGTCTACATGGCTTGATTCTGCTGCATTGCTTTACTAAGGTTACTAAGAGGCTATCTAATGACTAAACGGCTGTGGTGTCCGCACAGTCTTTCCAAGCGACGTTCGCGGCTTCCCGCAGGTTTTGTTGCTTTGTCCCATGACTTGGTTCACTGGCTTTTGGGGAGGTGGGCTTATACACCCCATTCAGGATTGGTGCGGAGGTCCGGTCCTGTTTTTAGGTTGAGGCTTTGGTTTCAATCGATCGCTGCGAGATCTGGTCGACGTAGACCATGAGCCCTCACCCTGTAAGCCTCAACTTCCTGCCCAGGACTCAAGAACTCAACAACCGTGACGGACATGAGTCATGGCTATCCACATGGTGATGATGGCGCTCATGCCTGGTTACGAACATGAAGACGGCAAAAGATGTGACAGATTTCTGTGTGGATCTGACATTGATGATCACGGCGATGATGACAATCGTGATTATGCAGAAGAAGGTGCAGATGATGACGAAGATCATCATGGTGGTACTGGTCGAAAGCCCATAAACTAGGTTTTAGGTTGAAGCTGAAGCTTTCTGTCGATCGCAGATCTGTCTGGACCTGGGCAAAGCTTTTGAGCATTTCATAAATCCAGTAAACCGTTGGATGGCCATCTTCGAAAACACACAACCCTCAAGCCCGAAGCTTTAAACCCTGTCCAGTCTGGCCGAACATGAGAGTGTTCGAAAATCAGAAAACTCTGATACCTTGTTTGGGAACGAGGGGGGTCGTGTCGATAAGGATCCGATTTGTTTGAACAGTAGTATATCAGGGTGCCTTGTGCCCGATTCCACCTTGCAGGTACGATCTGGCGCGTGGAAGCTTGGTGAGTCCCGAGCTTTTACTGATCAAGCAGGGGTTTCGGGAGGGTTCAGGTTTACGGTCTAGGGCGCGGTTTACTGGGTTTGAGTTGTTCCAAACTGTTTCGCAGGGCGTGGTGTTGGGCGTATTGATTGGGGGTGTAGGTCCTGCAAACAAACGTGTGGAACACCATGCTCCACTTGCACGAACTTTGTAGCAGACTTCCCATACCCGAAATGCGTCACTCGTTGTGACATATGCATGGCAGCATTATTGAAATGGTGGGAAGAAATCAAATTGACATTGGCACGGTGACGTTCGTCATAAAGTATGTCCGCGGTAAAATGTAACGACTTTATTCTGGCCTCGCAGAAGTCCCCCAAACCAGACAGTGCTCGCAATGACGAGGTCGGCCACTGGATTCGGCGCGCTCCGTGACATCAATGTGCTCACGGGAGTCGGAGAATGAGGCCCAATTTAGGGTGTGGATATTCGTCGATTCGTAGTGTTCTCAGTCGTATCAGGGGCTGAGATTCAGCATTTGCATCGCAGAACTCCGGGTCGAAGGTTTTGAATGGGGCTGGATGCCTGTACCTTCCTCCCGACGTGAGGCATCGAGCTGGAGCGGGGTTTATTGTCTAAGCAGGGGGGGCCCGAGCTTTCTGCAAGCTTCCAGAGTTTCTTCTCGATTCTGGAAGTTGATGTCTTTTCTCTCCAGCACGTCTTGGCAGCTTTGGGGTAATGGAAGTGGGGACAGTTCTGTGTTTCGGGGTCTTCGCACGTTCTGGTAACATCCGGTTGTTGGTGTTGCGTTGTTGTGTTGCGCCCTGGTGTATCGTGCGTGGTATAGTACAGACTCTGGGTTGAGAATGTGAGAGTTTGAACTGGAAGCCAGCGTTGTCAAAACACAGTCGTTGTGAGCCCTTGCCCTTGCATTCTGAACCCTCTGACCCCTGAACCCTCTGAACCCTTAATCCCGCAACGGTTTCGACATTGAGGAGCTCGTCGCCTTCGACCTTCTTCACACCGAGAAGGGGTTTCAGACCTTTAAGTCCGGAACCCAAGCCTTCAGGCTCCGAGGTTTGAGAGAGCCTGCTTTAGGCTCGTCTTTGTGTTTCCAGCAACCAGGGCTTTAATTATGTGATATTTGGCTGGATGGCTGTGCGTCCAAATGCAAATCGTACCTACCTTGGGCCTTGGGCTGTTTGGAGCCCAGGTTAGCCGCCTGAACAGGAC